GGTCCTGGGAAGGGGAGCCCAGCCTGGAGCCTGCCCCTCAGGGGTCACAGGATAGAGAGAGGGAGGAGCCTGGGGGAGGCTGGGTGGGGACGATCCCACGGGAAGTGCCACTTCTGGGACGCACCTGAATGGAGCCAGCCTAGGATGGAGCTGATGGCCTGGGGTGAACAACACATGGTGGGGCCGGGGGTAGCGGCTCACCTGGGACTCCTTAGCAGAGGGGGCTCGGTCAGTCCCCAGGGCTCTGCATGGCCCTCCGGAGACCCTGGCTCCCCGCTGGATCCATCAGCACAAAGGCAGAGGGAGGATCAGGAAGGCCGAGTCGGGGCAGGCAGGACGGCGGGGGAACAGCCAGGGCCCTAGTGTGTGGCTGCCACAGTGGCTCAGAGGAGGGCAAGGACCGATGGATGGATGATAGCCCCGAGAGCCAGCTGAGGCTGGAGACGGGGCTGTGGGGCCATCCCGGCCGCCTGCGGAGCCCTCGCTCACCCTCGTCACCTCTGGCATCTCCCCCGCGGCACTTAGCAGCCCAGTGAGAGAGCGGTCGAGGCAGGCGTGTGGATGGATCCAGGGCCCTCGCTCAAGGGTTCTGACAAATGAGGGTGGAAGAAGGGCCAGGCTGTCCACAAAGACAGTCTCTGGGCTGGACAGGACGGGCAAAGTCAAGGAACAGGCAGAGTCTGCAGCCGGGGTGCAGGGAGAGGCAGGTGTACACTGGAAAGTCAGGCCCCACGAAAGCCCTTGCGGGCGTCAAGTGGGACAGGGCCCAGGTGCACCCTCGGTGCCCTGAGCAGGCCTCGGACCAATGATGTGGTCACTCCTTCGGGAACTGCTGTTGGGGCCTGACCACCCACCCTGGGTCACACCCATCCTGCCTCAGGCCTGGACTTTCTCAGCTCCCGCAGAGGGTGCTGCCTAGCCCAGGAGGGGCAGCCCCGTCGTGCAACCCAAGCCTCGCCCTCCACAAGCCCCAAGCAGCCCCCGGTTGGGTGGGCCCTACGTTCCCTCTTCTCCCAGGCCCCAACCCCTCCCAGGCGCCAGCTGGCAGGGAAGCACCCGTCCTCCCTTCCCTGTGCGTCCCCTGGACTGAGACCTGGCAGGGGGCTGGGGGACAGGGCTTGTTCTTCCCTGGGGCCCACGAGGGGAGGAGGAGGACAGCTCCCAGCCCGGCAGAGGTCCTCAGCTCTGCCTGGGTTGCCTTACAGTGAGACGTGGCTGCTACCCATCAGTGCCCTGGAAGTAAAGGTAAGAGCCTGACCCTGCCGTGTGAGAGGCTGGTCCAGGGACAGGGAGACTCGGTGGGTGGTCAGCAGCCTGTGGACCCAGGCGGTGATGAGTGGGAGTGACAGGCTGTCCCTGGGAGGGGTGGCAGTTCCTGCGGGACCTGACTTGAAGACTCTGTCCCCGTGGTGGTTTGACCAAACCCCAAACTGAGAACCACAGTCGTGGCTGAGCAGTCACTGCCCACTTGTGCCAAGACCCCACCTGGATGTTGGCACCCCACCAACGCCCGGGGTGCCTGTGGCCTGAGGATGGCATGTCCCAAGTCATGAGGCCAGGACACCGGGGCCCATTCACTCAGAGGGTCTCAGTTCCCCAGGGCCGGCCCTTTCCTGGCTCCTTCCAGTTTGATCCTGTCGGGACCCTGGAGCCCAGGACCCAGCATCCAAGGGGCATCCCGGCAGCTCCGCTAACTTCATGTTATTTGACAGAGAAGACGTCAGGAGATGAGAGGGAGAGAAAAATGGCTCCAGGTGCTTCTCGACTGGCAGTGATATAGGAGTGGCAAGGAGGTGACATGGGGAGGGAAGGGCCCCGTGACCACTTTCTACAGAGTCAGGGGGACAGCCTCCCAGGGCTGTGTCCTGGCACTGCCGGCCTCTCAGAGGATGGACACCACACTGGGACACCAGCTTTCCTGTTCTTCCCTGCAAACCTCATCTTGCCAGGAGAGAGTCTGATGCCAGGGCCCGGGTCAGTCCTAGCTCAGGGGTAGGGACACTCCCTGGTGACCCGAAGGAAGGAACAGGTCAAGATCAGAGTTCATGACCAGGCGTAGTAGCTTACGCTTGTAATCCCAGCACTTTGGGAGGCCAAGACGGGCAGATCCCCCGAGGTCAGGAGTTCGAGACCAGCCTGGCCAACATGGTGAAACCCCGTCTATACTAAAAATACAAAACTAAGCCAGCCGTGGTAGCAGGCTCCTGTAATCCCAGCTACTCAAAAGCCTGAGGTAGAAGACCCGCTTAAACTCAGGAGGCGGAGGTTGCAGTGAGCCGAGATCGTGCCACCGCACTCCAGCCTGGGTGAAGAGTGAGACTCGGTCTCAAAAAAATAAATAAATAAAAATAAAAAGATCAGAGTTCATGACCCTGAGTGCTTCTTCATTCTTTGAATCATGGGAGGAGAGACCCAGTCCTGGGTAGACCCCACCTCTCCCGAGGAACTGAGGAGCCAAGGGCTGGAGATATCCGGAATCCTCAGGGTCCTGTCCTCCCCAGGGTCACCCCATGTCTCACTGGAGCGTTCCTCTGTCCATAGCTGTCTGTTGGGGTCTACAAGAGAATCCGTCTGCAGATGTGGGGCCAGATGTGGTCACTCTTGCTGAATGTCGAGAAAGTGAAGGCTGAGAACCTGGGAAAATGCCAGGTACCACACTTCCACACTCAGCCAGAGCTGGACAAACAGGCCAGGCCATGTTGGGAGCCCAGGCCTCCAGATGGAGGATCAGATGCACGTCCTGGGCACAGACGGTGACGCCGGCACCACAGGTGAGCTGGGCTCCAGCGACCCTCCTGGTGACCCCTTTGGCTTGTTGGAAAACAGGCCAAAGAAGGAGCTTTCTGCAGAAGGAAGCCTGCCTTCCCGCCTGCCTGCCTGCCTTCCTTTCTTCCTTCTTTCCTTCCTTCTTTTCTTCCTTCCTTCCTTCCAGAAGCATGGACTGTGGATGACGGCCGTGTGGGGCAGCGAGTCTTCAGTCTGTTTGGAGGCTGCTTCCTCCTCTTGACCCTGCCCTGCAGGTCATGAAGAACAAGGGCAAGAGATCCCCTGGGAACTTCCACCAGATGTGGAAGTTGGAGGGTCCCTGGGAAGATGGGGTTATCTGGAGGGATGGGGGCTTCCCCAGAGCAGAGGCAGGAGTCACCCTGGAAGAGTGACAGACTGGCCAAGCGCTCTCCTGGCCCAGGAGGCATGCAGCACCGTGGACTCAGTGCCTCTTGGGCTCCAAGCCCTGTGCCTGGCTGGGACACATGGGGCCAGAATCCAGGCGGCTCCCAAGGAGATGGACAGCAGCAAACAAAATCATGCGGAATGGTGGAAAGTGCTCTGTGTGCCTCTGGGGACCAGGGTAGGGACCCACAAGAGGGCGGCAGGATGAGGGGGCTCAGGAGCCTTCCCAAGCAACACTGGCAACACCGAACACCGGGAGGATGTGGAGCCCCGGGGCCCCTCGTCCCTGCCAGGTGGGAATGGGACAGGGCACAGCCACTTTGGAAGCCCGTTGGGCGGCTGCTCATGAAGCTCAGTGGACTCGTGCCACACATCCCAGAAGAGTCTCGGAGATTAACCCCAGTGATTTGAAAACTGACGTCCACGTAAAACCCGCGTGCCACGTTCACGGCTTGATTCATCATCACTCGTAGCCGGAGGCCACCAAGAAAACCTTCGACGTGGGATTAGGGGAGGAAGGGGGCATCCGCCCTTCGAACAAAACACCGCTCAGTGAGAAAAGGGAGCAAAACCCTGACCCCCGTAGCAATGTGGGTGAATCTTAGACGCATTTCGCTGAGGGAAAGAAGCCAGGCCTAACAGTCGACCACTGTAGGATTCCAACTCACGGGCCATTCTGGAAAAGGCAAAACCATAGGGATGGATAACAGATCAGGATGGCCAAGGGCTGATGGAGTGGGAGAGATCGGCTGCAGAGGGGACACCCTGGGGACTTGGAGGACGAAGGAGCTGCTCTGGGAGGTGCTGGAGTGGTGGGTGGGAGACTCGGCACCCTGGTTCAGAAACGTGGGACTGCGTATCCCAAAGACTGAGCTTTCACTCTGTGCTAAAAAGGGGAGAAAAATAATCAACCAGAGTGATTGCACACCTGAGATATTTGCATTTCACTGAAAGAGGATTTGACCCAGAAATTTCCCAAAATAATCAGATGCCCTGAAAAGGTCACTGCTTATTCGGCGGATCATCTCAACCTTGAGTTGGATTTGTCATCGGGGCTTGTAGACAAAATGAAACAGCATCTGCCTGAAGCAAAACGATCTTTTCTCTCTTTCCTAAGCAGCAGGATTTCTTTCAGGTCCCGGTGGCGTATTCTGCATCTAACCCCGTGAGTATTCCCAGGCAACGAGATTCCCGGGCCACACTCCCATATTCACAGGCATAGGCGTCTCAGGTGGGGCGTGTCATTGCTTCTTTAAAATTCAGCATTTGCGGCCGGGCGCGGTGGCTCAAGCCTGTAATCCCAGCACTTTGAGAGGCCGAGGTGGGCAGATCACCTGAGGTCAGGAGTTCGAGGCCAGCCTGGCCAACATGGTGAAACCCCATCTCTACTAAAAATACAAGACTTAGCTGGGCATGACGGCGTGTGCCTGTAATCCCAGCTACTCAGGAGGGTGAGGCAGGATAATTGCTTGAACCCGGGAGGCAGAGATTGCAGTGAGCCAAGATCACGCCACTGTACTCCAGCCTGGGCGACAGAGCAAGACTCTGTCTCAAACAAAAAAAAATCAGCATTTGCGACCCACTAAGACATAGTAGTTGCGACTCAAGCTCGCTACTGGCTTGGACATCCAAGCAGGAGGAGAAGGGTCTCAAAGGTGTCAAAGTAAGATGGAAAGAGGTCAAGGCCCAGACCCCCGGTCTGACCTGAGCCTGACCACCATTTCACAGAGCAAGTAATGACGCCCTCCTCCCAGACTTGCCCCAAAGCCCCCCAGAGCTTGGCGGTGTCCCCGGACGGTCGTCCCAGGAAACATATTGAACAAGTTGCTGAAGTGCCTGATGGACGCGGCTCTTGTCATGAAATGAGTTTGGATCCGAGAAGCCCTCTTCTTCATCGGAAAATGGGCAGGGGTCCAATTTCCCCTCCACCCGAACCCCGTCAGAGCCCTTCCAGGCGGCGGACGGCTCCGCGTGTTGGGAGGGTCTCTGATTTCGAGATGGGTCGGGGGCTTCTCAGGATTCTGCAGCCCAAATTGTGCCAGCCCACGAGGAGCACGTGTTATGAACGTCATTCCCAAAGATCCTCGGCACTTGGTGAACGGACAGTCCCCTCGGCTCCTTCCCAGAGGCCCTGGGTCCCATGGGCCAGGGGTAGAGGGGCGGCTCGAGCCCCTGGTGGGGCTGGCAAGAGGCTGAGTCCCAGCCAGGGACATGGAGTTCTCCATGGCTCCGGAGCTGAGTTTCCTTCTCCTGCCCTGGAGCAGGCAGAGGCACTCTACCCGGGCTGAGCTTCGGCTGAGCAGGGCTAAGGGAAGTGTGTCCTGGGGGGTCTGCGCAGGGGGCAGGTGTCAGGGGTGCCCCAGCCACCACCTGGTATTCTGTCTCTCAGGGAAGGGTCTGCAGAGGGGCCTGGAATAGGGAGGTTTGGGGGCAGGCCCAGGGGCCCCAAGGACCTCTGTTGCTCCCATTAGGACAAGGATGAGCTGTGTACCCAGAATTCCATGTTTACACTGACTCCTCCAGTGCCTCATCAATGAAGTAAGCAGGTACATTCATACATCAGTGAGGTAAGCAGGGAGCCCCCAGCCCAGGGACCCTCCTGCCCCACACTGCCTGGATCCCCCAGCCCAGGGATCTGGCTCCCCAGGAGGAACGGGCTCACCCCGACCTGGCAGGAGGCGCAGGCATGTCCCTGCAGGGCACACGACCCAGGCAATGCCCCAGAGGGAGCATCCCACAGCAGAGGCCGGGGCTCAGCCCAGCCTCATGGGCAGACAGGGCCGGGACTCAACTTGGGAGAGCCCAGGGAAGCCCCAAGCCCGTGGGGAACCTCTCCTTCCAGGAGCCACATCCCCACTGAAATGAGACTCCCGCATGAGGAGCTACAGGACCTCTTCTGATCCAGCCTCACAGGGGAGTGGGGTGGGGGATCTCATCCCATGGGGAGGGATCCCTGGTGCTCCAGGGCACTGAAACCCCAATGGGCCCTGCCCAAGCCACCAGCCCCCAGCTAAGAAGGGCCAGGTCCTCCCACACCTGTTGTCCCCAAAGACTCCCTTTGGGCTTGCCAGGCAGCTACGTTCTGGAGGGCTAGCGTGTCCTCACGGCACACAACTTCCAAAGTTGACAGAGTCAAGTCCTGGCGTGCCCAAGGCTATCCAGGGGAATACGCGGGACAGACAGAACCCTCAGACCGTCCCCATGACCCTCTGCTCCAGTCTGAGGGACAGGACACCATGAGACCTCTCAGACACAGAGCCCACCCTCGACATGACCCGGATGAAAGGCAGGAGTGTGGTGAGCCCCTCCCTGCCCGCGCCTCCCCCTGGCCGTGGCCTCCTATGCACAGCTGGACCCCGGGGGTGGCCTGAAAAGGACCCGGCACTGCCCAGTGGGAGGGGGCCATGGTGGAAACAGCGTGTGAACACCAACCTCTCCCCGGGACCCCTCCCTGCCTGATGCCCACCCTGCCCCTAAAGCATCTCATGAAGCTGTCCCAGTCCACCCTCAGGGAGCTCACCCAGGACCAGTTCTTCTGGGCCTGGGCCCTGGAGGATGCCATGGCGTTCAGGCGCCTTCATGTCTCCATGGGGTTACGGATGAGGAGGTGGTGGGTCCTGCTACCTCCAGGTGGGCCCCAGTAGCAGGTCCCCTCCCAAGTCACCCTCTGGGGCAGTCAATCGTGGAGAGGGCCTGGGCCCCGACAGCCTCACTACCTGGGCCTTCCTCCTGCCCTTCTGGAGGCTTCTGGAGGCCAGGCAGGGTGGTTCACGCCTGTAATCCCAACACTTTGGGAGGCCGAGATGGGTGGATCACTTGAGGTCAGGAGTTCGAGACCAGCCTGGCCAACATGGTAAAACCCCATCTCTACTAAAACTACAAAAAAAATTAGCTGGATGTGGTGGCGGGCACCTGCTATCCCAGCTACTTGGAAGGCTGAGGCAGGAGAATCTCTTGAACCCGGGAGGCGGAGGTTGCAGTGAGCCAAGATCACACCATTGCACCCCAGCCTGGGCAACAGGAGTGAAACTCCGTCCAAAAAAAAAAAAAGAAGAAGCTTCTGGAAATAAGCCCGCAGGTCCTCAGGGCAGGTGCTGAGCACGTGTGTGCTGGACGTGCTGCAGATCAGGCGGGGGGACCAGGGGAAAGACTCTTCCGAGCCCCACCATTGCCACCTTCCACAGTGTCCTGCTTTGCCCTCGAAGGTCCCTGCAGAGGACCCATCTGTGTGAGCCCACAGCCCTACCTGCAGCATCCACAGCCTCAGAGAGCAGCAGGGGCTGCTTACCCTGAACCCCCGCCAAGAGCATTAGGACAACAAACCTTGAGCCTTGGAGACAAGAGAATCAGTATGCCTGGCCCAGGAAGGATTCGAGGAGAGGACACGCGCAAGAGCCCTGGCCCAGAGCCAGAACCAAGAGTCCAGCCAGGTGTGGAAATGGTCCAGTCCTGGCATGGAGTGGATGGCCCCGGAGGGCAGAGGGGACTCCATGCCTGGGGCCATCCATCTCACCCACTGTAGAGACAGGCCCCCGAGTGAGGTGGCAAGGGGGCCAGGTGACAGCAAAGGCCTCTCCCATCTAAGTTCTGAATCAGGGCTGCATCCCAGCCAGCACAGCCCTGGGGTGAGAGAGAGAGGCAGGAAGCCTTGAGCCAGCCCAAACCCTCGGGGGCCAGCCTAGGAGCAACCTGAGGTGCCCCGACGGCTCCCCCGCCACAGCCCACACACAACTGTCACTCCAGGATCAGATACCTGCAGGAGTGTCCGCAGCATCAGACTCAAGGAGCCACACAGGGACCCTAGGGACTCCAAAGACCCAGGTCCGGGGGGGCCCGGCCCTGTGAAGACCTAATGGGCTCGGTGGAGAAGCGGACCACACATGTCTGCTTTCCTTTCGGCGAAACTGGAGCTAGAGTCCCTGATACCCAGGCCTCTGCAAGCATCTCCCAACATCAAGTCCTTCTGCAAGGGAGATGGGCTGGCCTACCCCAGGCTGTCCAGCTCCAGCAGGCTTGCAGGCGGCCCCTCCAGAACAAAAGCCTGGTCCTCCGCCACCCTGCCCCCATCCCCCAGGCTGTCCCTGAGCCCGAGGCCCAGAGACACAAGAGGACATCTGTAGAGCCCAAGGGAGCAGACTGTTCTCTTGGGACTCCGGGGGGATCAGGGTGTAGCCAGGCTGTCCCCAACTCAGGACAGACCATGGGCTGCCCCAGGGTACCTCCTCTGGAACTTCCTGCCCAAGCTTCGCCATGGACCTGGACGTCAGGGGCCTGTGGTTCAACTTTGAATAGGGATTCTGGACCTTGCGCGGGTGCCCAAGACAACCCCAGAATCGTGGGTGGGACCCAGTGGGACACGCCCAGCAAGCCCATCAGGGCCCTGAAACCCGGCCTTGCCGGGCACTGTGATAATAACCAAGAGGCAAGTCCAGAGACATCCACTTTGCCCAATGGCACCTGCATCCGTCTTCTCAGTAGGCAGTGACTGGCATGGTGTGGGGGCAGCTGGGGCAGCACCTGGCCAGCTGCCCCGTAGCCCCAGATGGTTCCAGTGCCTCTGGACCTCTTTTTCTACTTTCTACGGGGAAACCTGCTCCCTCAGAGGCTGCCAGAGGGAAGAGTGAGCGAGGCATTCCTGCAGCCCAGACCAGCCAGCGGCAGGTCCTGTGGCCTCTGACTCAACCTATGAGACAGAGCTCTGTTCCCAGGGCACACTTCCCAGGACACGGGGCCCAGCCTCAACCGGAGCCCTGTGAAGGGAGGGGCACCAGGATGACCATATCGGGGACCGTGGCGCTGCACACCTGGGCACTGTACTTTTCATTGGAGAATCCAGGCAAGATCTTGAAGCAGGTGCATGAGGTCCTGAGCCTGTGCAGCAAACAGCACTCATCTGGGGCTGGCACGAAGGGGTCTACAGAGCCATGGCCACTGCTGCCTCCTCCCAGCCCCATCTGTGCAGTGCAAGTGATCCACACCCGCTCCTAAGCCCAGTCCAGCAAGCAGCAGCCCGGGTCCCCCAGCCCGCCAGGCCGATGTGCTGCCCAGAGGCTTCGAGGCCCTGCCCGCTGTGCCTCCCACCACCTGGAAGCTGCCTCCTGACGCCTGCCAGCTACTGCCACAGCCGCAACAGGTGCCACGGCCAGTGCAGGCTTTCCAGACAGTGGGGGCGCCCAGCAGCAGTCGCCTCAGCAGCTCTTTGGTGGCAGCCAGGCCAACCAGGGCAGCAACTATGACTAGGATGATGCGTGAGCAAACAGCTCCACACTGGTGGACAGGCTGGGTACGCACCCGGCCCTCAAAGGCTCACTTGGCCTGTACCACCATTGTAAATTTGAGATCATGAGATTATACCATTTGCCTTCTTGCTTTTTGAAGTACGAGTATTTTTATGCACACTTGGTAGACCTAAAAATCCATGAAGGGTCTCAGAGAAGCTGGCCGGATGGAGCCTGCTGTGGATGCCTTTTTACTTTCATAGACCAGGGTGATTTACATTCCACCTGTAGTCTGTTTGCAAACTCTCACAGAGCAGCCTTACAGCTTTGTGCCTTTAGAATCTTGGTTTTGCGTTTCTCCCCGCTCCCTTCTTCCAGTAAGCCGCAACTTTTCTGATTGAAAGGGTGCAAGGCTAACATACGGAATGACTAACTCAGGATCACATACTGGCAGTGGGAGGGGCGGGCAGGCAGCTCATGTCATCGCACCGCCAATGATGTAGGGATGGATGCTGGCCCATGCGGAAGACACACAACGTCCATCTGATACGATGTCTATTCTCTTAGAGGCGGCTGTAGCATCGCCTCTTCACACAAGTGTCTTGAACCTCAGTTTGAAATTTCAGCAAACGTATCTTACAGCAAGAGAAGAGGGAGTCAGTCCTCAGGATTTAAAATATTGAGGCAGTGACAACACACCACGGCTTCAGTTCTCGAAAGTTTGGTTTTGATTTTGTTTTTTTTTTTTGTTTTTTTGAAAGATTGTAAAATCTACACTGTTAACTGAGACTCGGTTGAGATTCACTAGTTTACTTAAAAACTTCTCAGGGACGTCTGTAAATTTCAGTGTCATACGTCATGAAAACAGGTGTTGGCGGATCTGTTGGTTGCAATAATTTCTACTATTTCAAATACTGAAGGCAAGCATAATTGGTTTATACTGTATTTTAAATAAAAGTATGACTGATAAGTCCCCCAGGACATTAAACCTTAAAAATCATTTTTAAGCTCTTATTATTGTAAGAGAAATACAAATGACTAGAAAATGCCACAGAGATCGAAAGCTGCTTAATTGAAAGAGCAGGAAGGAATTCTGACTTGCAATGCCAAACTTTCCACGTTTTTATAGTTACTGAGCTAAACCGTATGGTTATTGACACTTTCTAAATCTGTCACTGAAAGGTTAAAGTATCTGCTGTTTTTGTGAAGTCGAACTTAACGCTGCCTCAGAAATCCCTGGGTACCGAAATGGTCACACAGAGCTAAGGAAGTCAGTTTGAAATGCCAGTGAGTCAAAATGATTAAAGAGGCCAGGCGCGGTGGCTCACACTTGTAATCCCAGCGCTTTGGGAGGCTGAGGCAGCGGACTGCTTGAGTCCAGGAGTTTGAGACCAATCTGTGCGACACGGCAAAACCCTGTCGCTACAAAAAAAAATACAAAACAAATTTATCCAGACCTAGTGGCGCGCGCCTGTGTAGTTCCAGCTAGGGGGCTGAGGTCGGGGGATGGCCTGAGCCTGGGAAGTCAGGGCTGCAGTGAGCCGAGATGGCACCACTGCACTCCAGCCTGGGCGCCTGGGTGACACAGCCAGACCCTGCCTCAAAAAAAAAAAAAAAAAAAGATTTAAAAAATGGGTCTGTTTATTTAAAAAGAAAAGTGAAATAATGCCCAACAGCACATTTACTCTCTTAAAAGTAATTTCAGGCTGGGTGCGCTGGCTCACGCCTGTAATCCCAGCACTTTGAAGGCCGAGGGGTGGGTGGGGTGGATCACCTGAGGTCAGGAGTTCGAGACGAGCCTGGCCAACATGGCAAAATCCCGTCTCTACTAAAAATACAAAAATTAGCCAGGCATGGTGGCGCAAGCCTATAATCCCAGCTACTTTGGATGCTGAACCAAGAGATCACTTGAACCCAGGAGGTGGAGGTTGCAGTGAGCCGAGATCGCGCCACTGCACTCCACCTGGGCAACAGAGTGAGACTCTGTCTCAAAAAAAAAAAAAAAAAATTCATATGGGCTGAATTTTTAAGGTCAGATGATCACAATTTTGATATTTTGTCTGTATTTTATACCTAGGTGACTTAGAGCCTGATTTTTAACGTGGCTTTGTCTTGACTACAGATACGTGGAACTGTAGCCAAATATATTGTTCTGTTTAAAAAAAAAAAAAAAAAACTGATTCAGTTACTAGGACTGAAGAAAATTGGGCAAAGGAGGGCCCAGGAGCCTAGGTCCCTACAGCTACCATCCTTGGCAGCTGCATTTCATGGTTAGAAAAACTCAGGAAACAGTACAGCTCATGCCTGTAATCCCAGCACTTTGGGAGGCTGAGGCAGGTGGATCACCTGAGGTCTGGAGTTCGAGACCAGCCTGACCAACATGGGGAAACCCTGTCTCTACTAAAAATGCAAAAATTAGCTGGGCATGGTGATGCATGCCTGTAATCCCAGCTACTCGGGAGGCTGAGGCAGAAGAATCGTTTGAACCCAGGAGGCGGAGGTTGCAGTGAGCCGAGATCATGCTGCTGCACTCCAGCCTGGGCGACAGAGCAAGACTCCATCAAAAAAAAAAAAGAAGGAGAAAAGAAAAACTCAGGAAAGGAGGTCTCACACACTGCAGGGAGGCTCCAAGCTCCAAAGTCAGGGGTGGTGGGGGGACCAGGGCTGCCAGTACCAATGCCTTCACCCCTTTGAAGGCCTCCCTCTCAGAAGCAAGGATCCCCTCCTTGGCCTCAAGTCCCCACCCTCATTGGTTAAAACACAGTCACTTCTCTGTCGCTATGACCTGCCTGTTTTTGACTGAAATGGTCATACAGAAGGAAGTCAGTCTGAAATATTGGTGAGTCAAAACGATTAAAGAGGCCGAGTGCAGTGGCTCACGCTTGTAATCCCAGCATTTTGGGAGGCTAAGGTGGGTGGATCACTTAAACCCAGAGCTCTCTGCAGGAAGCCCTGGACACCCTGGGGCAGGCAGGGCGAGAGGGCAGCACAACCCAGGCTCCACCCGACCTCTCTCAGCTTCCACCTCCCACAGGCCACAGGGGAGCCTGGGACAGGAGCAGAGGGCCGGGGTTCCGGTGACATCTGGAACATTCACGATAGTCCATGCAAAGCATTCCTGGGAGGGTCCGTGGTCACCTCTGTCCCAGGGTGGCTTGACTCCAGCAGCCCTTCATTCCTTCTGTCCATCCTTCCTTCGGCCTGCACCTCCTCCCAGCATGTGGCACTCCCACGTCCTAAGCCTGTGTCACTTTCTTTCCATGGATTCTTTGACCGTCTTCTTCTTCTCACTGACTTGGCATCTAGGAGGCTCTTGGTGGAGGAAGGTAACTGCTAAGAAATGACATACTGAGGCCAGGCGTGGTGGCGCACCCCTGTAATCCCAGGACTTTGGGAGACCAAGGCAGGTGGATCACTTGAGTCCAGAAGTGCAAGACCAGCAACATAGTGAGGAAAAAAAAAAAAGAAGGAAGGAAGGAAGGAAGGAAGGAAGGAAGGAAGGAAGGAAGGGAAGGAGGGAGGGAGGGAAGGAGGGAAGGAAGGAAGGAAGGAAGGAAGGAAGGAAGGAAGGAAGGAAGGAAGGAAGGAAGGAAGGAAGGATTGACTAAGAAACTAGCAGTCTTCTGGCTGTCTGGATGTAGGGTCCAGCCCTACCGGGCTTAGCAGGTGTTCTCCCCATGTGCGGAGACGAGAGATCATAAGAAATAAAGACACAAGACAAAGAGATAAAGAGAAAACAGCTGGGCCCGGGGAACCACTACCACCAAGACGCGGAGACCAGTAGTGGCCCCGAATGGCTGGGCACACTCATGTTTATTGCAGACAAGACAAAGAGGGGCAGGGTAAAGAGGGTGACTCTGCTAAGTGATTGACAAGGTGAAGCGAGTCACGTGATCACAGGACAGGGGGCTCTTCCCTCTTAGGTAGCCGAAGCAGAGACAGAAGGCAGCATACGTTTTCTTCTCTGCACTTATAAGAAAGATCAAAGACTTTAAGACTTTCACTGTTCCTTCTACCGCTGTCTACTACAAACTTCAAAGAGGAACCAGGAGTACGGGAGGAACATGGAAGTGGACAAGGAGCGTGACCGCTGAAGCACAGCGCCACGGGGAGGGGTTTAGGCCTCCAGATGACTGCGGGCGGGCCTGGATAATATCCAGCCTCCCACAAGAAGCTGGTGGAGCAGAGCGTTCCCTGACTCCTCCAAGGAAAGGAGACTCCCTTTCCCGGTCTGCTAAGTAACGGGTGTCTTCCCGGACACTGACATTACCGCTTGACCAAGAAGCCCTCAAATGGCCCTTATGCGGCGTGACAGAAGGCTCACCTCTTGCCTTCTAGGTAACTTCTCACAATGTCCCTTCAGCACCTGACCCTCTACCCACCGGTTATTCCTAGGTTATATTTTTAATGCAACAAAGAGTAATATTAAAAGCTAATGATTAATAATGTTTATCATAACGATTGATAATGGTCCATGATCATCTCTATATCTAATTTGTATTTTGACTATTCTATTTTCTTTATTATACTGAAACAGTTTGTGCCTTCAGTCTCTTGCCTCGGCACCTAGGTAATCCTTCGTCCATGTCTGGGGACAGTCCTCATGTGTTCCTCAGCTCAGCCTCGAGGGTCCTGGGCTGGTCACCTCACCACCTCCGCGCTGTGTCTCTAGATCCAGACTCCACAGGCAGGGCTTGGGAGGCCTGGCACAAAAGGTGCCTGGTGTGACAAACATCCCTCTGTTCCCTGGACTGCAGCTCAGCGAAAGGTCCAGGTGGTGCTTTGCCTATTCACTGTCCCTTTTGAGATGAGCCCAGAGGGCTTTGTGGGGGGCGAGTGTGAAGCTGGGCGCCTGGAGCCTGAGGCCAACTGTCCCTCCTCTGTGTCCTGGAGGAGGGGCCCCATCCCAAAAAGACCCCCAGGGGCCTGGCCTGTGGCTGCAGATGTGGGGAGGGGACAGTCTGTGGGCTGAGTGGGAGCCATAGGTAGGGGACATTGAGCACCACGGCTGAGGGGCCTAGTCAGTAGGAACCTGGACCTTGTGCCTTAGTCAGGGGAGGCCTGGTCAGTGGGACCTGGACATTGTGGCCTGCTCAGCGGGGGCCCGGTCAGTGGGACCTGGACATTGTGGCCTGCTCAGCGGGGGCCTGGTCAGTGGGACCTGGACATTGTGGCCTGCTCAGCGGGGGCCTGGTCAGTGGGACCTGGACATTGTGGCCTGGTCAGTGGGGGCCTGGTCAGTAAGGACCTGGACATTGTGGCCTGGTCAGTGGGGGCCTGATCAGTGGGGACCTGGACATTGTGGCCTGCTCAGCGGGGGCCCGGTCAGTGGGACCTGGACATTGTGGCCTGCTCAGCGGGGGCCCGGTCAGTGGGACCTAAACACTGTGTCCTAGTCAGTGGGGGACCGGGTCAATGGAGGCCTTGTGAAAGGGGAACACATTGGGGACATAGTCAGAAAACACCTAGTGAATGGGGATGTTGTCAGTGTGGGTCTGCTCAGTGAGGATCTGGTCTGTGGGAGGCCTGGTCAGCTGAGGCCTGGTCAGAGGGGACTGGTCACGGGTCCTCAAGTTCAGGACCTAGTCACTTGGCACCTCGTCAGTGGGGACCTGGTCAGTGGGATCCTGGTCAGCGGGAGCTGGGTCAGTGTGAGCTGATTATTGGGGCTCTGGTCTGTGGGGACCTAGTCAGGGGAAACCTGGTCACTGGGGCCTGTTCAATAGAAACATGGTCGGTGGAAGCCTAGCAGTGGGGGCCTGGTCACTGGGCTCTTGGCTAGTGGGGCCTAGTCAGTAAAGGTCTGTTCAGTAAGGACTTGGTCAGTTGGAATTTTGTCAGTTGGGGCCCAGTCAGTGGGGACCTGGGCAGCCAGGGCCTGGTCAGTGGGACTTGGTCTGCAGGGACCTGGTCACTGGAGTCCTGGGTAGTGGGGTCTAGTCAGTAAAGGTCTGGTCATTAAGGACCTGGTCAGTTGAAACCTTGTCACTTTGGGCCCAGTCAGTGGGACCTGATCTGAGAGGGTCTTGTCAGTTGGACCCAGTCAGAGGGAGTCTCATCAGTGGGGCCTGGCTAGGGAGGCCTGGTCAGTGGAGGTTTGGTCAGTGGGGTCCTGGTAAGTTGGGGCCTCATCAATGGGGACCTGGTCAGTGGGGACTTGTCAATGGGACCTGGTCAGGGGGCCCTTGTTAGAAGGAGCCTGGTCAGTGGGGCCTAGGTAGTGAAACCTGGCCACTGGGGGCCTGGAGACCTGGGGCCTGGCCAGTGGGACCTGGTTAATGGGATCTTGGTCACTGAGGTCCTGGTTTGTGGGGTCTAGTCAGTAAGGGTCTATTCAGAGAGACCTGGTCAGTAGGGGCCTGGTCATTGAGGCCCTGGAGAGTGGGGCCTATTCAGTAAAGGCCTGGGTCACTGGGGTCCTGGTTAGTGAGGCCTATTCATTAAAAGTCTGGGTCATTGGGGTCCTAGGTAATGGGGCCTGGTCAGTAAAGGTCTGGTCACTGAGGACCTGGCCAGTCAGAACCTTGTCAGTTAAGGACCTGGCCAGTCAGAATCTTGTCAGTTAAGGACCTGGCCAGTCAGAACCTTGTCAGTTAGGACCCAGTCAGTGGGCACCTCATCAGTGGGGGCCTCATCAATTGGGCCCAGTCAGTGGGGGGCCTGGACAGTGGAGACCTCATCAGTGGGTCCTGGATAGTGAGGCCTGGCCACTGGAAGTCTGGTCAGTGGGGGCCTGGTCACTGGGATCCTGGTTAGTGGGGTCCGGTCATTAAAGGTCTGTTCAGTAAGGACCTGGTCAGTCGGAACCTCGTCAGCTGGGGCCTGGTCAGTGGGGGACTGCTGAGTGGGGGCCTTGTCAGTTGAGCCTGGTCAGTGGAGGTCTGGTCAGTGGTGTCCTAGTAAGCTGGGGCCTTGTCAGCTAGGGGCTAGTCAGTGGGGACCTGGTCAAGATGTGCTTGTCAGTGGGAGCCTGGTCAGTGGGGCCTACTTTGTGAAACCTGGCCACTGGGGTCCTGGAGAGATGGGGCCTGTCAGTGGGGAACTGGTCAGTGGGAGGTCTGGTCACTGGATTCCTGGGTAGCGGGGCCTGGTCAGTAAAGGTCTACTCATTGAGGACCTGGTCAGTCAGAACCTTGTCAGTTAATGACCTAGTCAGTTGGAATCTTGTCAGTTGGGCCCAGTCAGTGGGGGCCTGGTCAGTAGGGACATGGTCTGTAGGGACATGGTTAGTAGGGACCTGGTCAGTGGGGGCCTGGTCTGTGGGGGCCTTGTCAGTTGGGTCCAGTCAAAGGGGGCCTGGTCAGTAGGGACATGGTTAGTGGGGACCTGGTCTGTGGGGGCCTTGTGAGTTGGACCCAGTCAGTGGGATTCCTGGGTAGTGGGGCTTAATAAAGTTCTGATCATTAAGGACCTGGCCAGTCAGAACCTTGTCAGTTAAGGACCTGGCCAGTCAGAATCTTGTCAGTTAAGGACCTGGCCGAGTCCCCAGAATCTTGTCAGTTAAGGACCTGGCAGTCGAAACGTTGTCAGTTAAGGACCTGGTCAGTTGGGCCCAGTCAGTGAGAGTTTGGTCAGTGGAGGCCTAGGCCATCAGTGGGTCCTGGATAGTGAGGCCTGGTCACTGGGGTCCTGGGTAGTGGGGTCTGGTCTGTGAAAGTCTCATTGATGAGGCCTAGTTAGCGGGGTCCAGGCGGTGAGGGCCTCATCGGGGGACTTAGTCAGCGAGTCAGTGAGGGCTTGGTGAGTGGGGGCCTAGTCAGTGGGGCCTTGTACCTGGTGAGTGTGAACCTGGTCTTCAGGGGCCTGGTCAGCAGGTGATTGATCAGTAGGAACCTGGTCAGTGCAACCCTGGCCAGTGGCTGCCTGATCATTGGACCTAATCCATGGGGGCCTGGCAGAGGTGGGGGAGGGGTGGGGGGCGGCTGTCAGTGGGGCCTGGGCAATGATATCCTGGTCAGCAGGCTCCTAGTCAGGAGGAGCCCAATCAGTAAGGCCTGGTCATCGGGGGCCTGGTCAATGAAAACTTAGTTAGCAGTGTTGGTCAGTGTGGCCTGGATACTGGGGATTGGTCAGTGGGAGACCGGGCCGGTGGAGACCTGGTCATCGGGGCCCATTCAGTGAAGGCCAGGTCATGGAAGGCCCAGTGGATGGGGCCCTGGTCAGGAGGGGCCTGGTCAGTTAGACCCGGTCATCCCAGGACTGGTCCTCAGGGGCCACTCTGACTTCACCAGGCTCCCCTGACCGTGCCAATCCCTGGACAGCAGCCAACTGTGTCCTTTGTGTCTCTCCCAGCACAGGCCCAGGACGTGGGGATGCCCGAAGCTGGGAGGAGGCTCAGACAGCAGGAAGGAGAGAAGGAAGGAAGGAACTTCCACAGCACCGACGCCTACGAAATTGCAACACGTGGTGCTGTTTCTACTCCATCGCCGCGTTCGCTCTTTGTTTCCTACGTAATTCTCTATTCGACTGGCCTCAGTTGAGCACAAAACCATCCTTGTACCACCACGAATAGCTGGCCATGGCTCTTTGATAGGCATTTTGATTCTGCCGTAGAAATTATCCTTGAATCGGAAAAAAAAATCCCCAACCCAGCGTCCAGTCACTCAACACTCTCATCTTTGTGAAGAGCTGGTTCCGAATTCTGGGTCGCTTTTTGGAAAAAATATCTGTTATGGTAAAACGTGCTGCTTCTGTGGTCTCAAGTCTCTACTGGAATTGGATAGAGATGGTGAATTTCAGTCAGAGCCCTCTCCTGAAAGCCATCAGCCCTGCACCTCCATCTTCCCTCCTCCCATGAGTCGCCTGCTCCCCGTGACACTGGTAAGAGCTCCTCTGTGAACGTGGAGGATGTCTGGGAAGTTGGCCCCGTGCCCCTGGGACTGGCACTAACAGGTGCAAGATGGGGTCCAGGTCCTGCCTGGGCCAATCCGGAAGAGCTTGCCAGTGGCATCACAGGCACCTCGGGGAAGGAGATGGCTTGGTTCAGGACCACCCAGAGGCCCACTGGGCCCACTCCAAGGCCTGGCTGAGGTCACAGAAGGGCTGGCCACCTGCTGATGCTCCTTCTTGAAGCCCCTCACCTCCTGGCCATGGGCTCCATGCCCTGTGGCTGAGCAGCAGCGCTGTGGTCCACCTTCCTGGGGAAGCATCTCCAGCCGTCCATCTTGCGCTCCACCTCCTGCAGGTCGAGGGCAGTGGTGGGGGTAGTGCTCAGGGTCAGGAAGGAGCTGACACCCACCACGCCACCCTTCTCAGCCTTCCTCTTGTCCTGTTTCCAGGCCTCCTCGCAGTGCTGCTGGGGCACGTCAGGAAGTGCTGGAGGACATGGCACTGCGCCAGCACCAGGCGGCCGGCCGTGTGGCTCATCCCACAGATCAGGCTCTTCCTGTGCGTGGAGATGGAGTCCTCCTGGAGGCAGCCCATGGCCCGATTCTCAGGCAGGTGGAGCATGGAGACGACTGGGAATTTCACTAGACATGCATCCAGCCAGTCCAAGGACTTGTCGAGCCATGCACCAGCTTGGAGGAGAGGTAGCTCTTTATGCCCTTGAACTTGTTCTGCTGAGTGGTGTCGCCGGTGGTGCACGGGCAGGGGTAGGGCTTCTCCTGCCACTTGGGGCCATGGAGCCACAGCACCCACAGCACCATGCACACAGCATGTCCCTGTCCTGCACAGAGCCCGGTGCCTCGCCAAGCACAAAGGCCTCCCTTCCCGACTTGAAAAGGCAGAGTAGTGGTTGAGGTTGTGGCTCACAGGGACCGAGCTCCTGCCCACGTGGGGACACAGGCAGCTGTCGAGTTCCAGGAATGCACCTGCCCAATGCACCTGGCTCGTCCACCATCATGGAGCTGCCATCCCACTTGTCGTTCCCGTCATCATCACTGCCCTGGCTGGCCCAGTTGCCACCGAGGAGCTGCTGAGGCCACGGCTGCAGGGCACCCTACCGCCTGGAAAGCCTGCATCGGCTGCTGGAAGGCACTCTGTGGTGGCATCTGCTGCAGCTGCAGTAGCAGCTGGAAAGCGCTAAGAGGCAACTTCAAGAAGGCGGGCAGTGCACCTGGCAGGGCCTCAAAGCCTCTGAGTGGTACGATGGCCATGGCACAGTGGGTCAAGGCACAGGGGCAGCCATGGTGCGCTGGGCCAGTCCAGGGGTGCAGACCACTTGCACCGCAGATATAAGGCCAGGGTTGCTGCGGCCATGAGCCCCTGCGAGTCAGCCCTTGATGTCCTGCTCGCTATACGGGCTCAGTACTTCATGTTCTCATAGATCACTCTCAAATTCTCCGCCATCAAGTGGTACAGCAACTGAATCCACAGTGCCATGGGTCCCCTGCGTGGTCATCCTGGCCACTGTGGAGGCACGTGACACCTCTAACTCCCCTCCCCTCCCAGGGCTCAGGTTGAGGCCAGGCCCCTCTGGTCCTGGGAACTGTGCCTTGAGGGCGGGGCTCTATCTTGTAGGTTGAGTCAGAGGCCGCAAGGCACGCTACTGACGGCTGGGGCTGCAGGGGTGCCACACTCACCCCTCTGGGCAAGTCTTAGAGTGAACAGCGTTCTTATTGAAGATGACTTCCCAAGGCCCCAAGAGCCATCTAGGGCTGTGGAGCAGCTAGCCGGGTGCTGCCTTAACTCCTTCCACACCGGGCTGGTCACTGCCCGCCCAGAGGAGTCAGATGCAGGTGCCATTGTGTAGAGAAATGTCTCTGGACCTGCCTCTTGGTTATCACGGGGCACAGTAGTTTCTGGTGTCAGGGCCCTGATGAAGCTGTTGAGCCTATCTGGGGCAGATGTGGAAGTGACAGGAGCTCAGCATCCCTGTTCAAGGTCATACCACAGGAACCACAAGCCCCCAACGCCATCCGGCTCCATTGGAAGCTTTGGCATGGAATTCCACCAGAGGTACCGCCAGTTAACCCAAGGTCTGCCCTGAGCTGGGGACGGCATGGCCACACCCTGAGCCCTGGAGGTTCCCAGAGAGCCACCTTCTGCCTTGGGCGCTGCAGAAGCCCCCTTTACATGTCACTGGGCCTCGGCCTCGGGGACAGCCTGGCCAGGCCAGGGTAGGGGAGGATCAGGCTCCCATTCCAGAGGAGTCGCCTACATGGGCTGCTGGAGCTGGGCTGGTGGACCACGGAGAGTCAGCCCATCCCCATTGTAGAGAGGTTCAATGCCAGGAAATACCCGAAGAGTCCGGGGTGCTGGGGCCCCTCCCTCAGGTTTGGCTGAAGAGAATGCAGACGAACCCAGCTTCTCCACCAAGCCCATCAGATGTCCTCGCAGGGCCGGGTTCTGCACATTTGGGTCTCCGGAGTCCTTGGGGTCCCTCTGTCCTCCACCCTAGCATGACACTGAGGACACACTTGCAGGTCGCAGATCCCAGAGCAAGGGGCGTGTGCAGCCGCCTGGGTATCCCCCATGGGACAGGTAACACAGGGTTCGGGCTGGCTTGGGGCTTCCTGCCTCACATCCGCATCCCACGGCTCGGCGGCCTGGGATGCAGCCCTGATTCGGAGCTCGGGTGGGAAGAAGCTCTGTCACCTGGCCGTCTTGCCACCTCACACGGGGGCCTGTCTCCACAGTGGGTGAGACAGCCCCGGACAGCCGCTCTCTGGAGTCGTCCACTCCATGCCAGGACTGGACCATTCCCACGCCTGGCTGAACTCTCGGTTCTGGCCCTGGGCCAGGGCTCCTGCCCGTGTCCTCTCCCCAGATCCTCTGGGCCAGAAACACTGATTCTCCTGTTCACCTGGCATCCCTGAAGGGGCACTCTGGAGTGAGGGGACCCTGATCCTCCTGGCGTCTGTTGATGCTCACGGGCAGGGCAGGGAGCTGGCACAGACCGGAGACAGTGTAAAAGGTGCAGGGGGCACCCCCGCCTGTCTTGAGCAGCATGTCCAGTACATGTGCACTCAGCACATCCCCTTAAAACCGGCAGGTCTGTCTGTGGGAGTTTCTCTGTAGAGGAGGAAGAGGTCTGGGAGGAAGATCCAGGTAGTGGGGTTGCAGGGACCCAGGCCCCCTCCACTATCGACTGCCCCAGAGGGTGACTCAGACGGAGACCTGATGCTGGAGCCTCCCTAGGGGTGGCAGGTCCCGGTGTCTCCTCATAGTTCCCTCATGCAGACCCGAAAGTGCATGAGAACTGCATCGTCCTCCAGGGCCCAGGCCTGGGAGAACGGCTCCTGAACCAATCCTTATAGGCCAGACTGGGACAGGTTCATGAGGCACTCTAGGGACAGGGGGGCAGCATGGAAGGGGTCAGTGCCCACACCCAGTTTCCCCCACGGCTACCTCCCACTGGGAGGTGCTGAGTCCTTTTGCAGCCACCCCTGGCTTCCAGCTGTCCACAGGAGGCCATGGCCAGGGGGAGGCCTGGGTGGGGAGGTGCCCACCACACTCCTGCCTTTGATCTGGGTCTTGTCAAGGTGGGCTCCATGTCTGGGAGGACTCAGTGTCCTGCTCAGCGCAACAGACCCAGCCTGGCCCTCCAGACTGAAGCAGAGGGTCATGGGAACAGTGTGAGGGTGCTGTCCTTGGGCCAGTCCGGGTCTGTCCTGGGGAGCGGGACTGGAGATCTTCCTGGCATGTTCCTGGAACGGAGTCACCGTGAGGATGAACAGGATGACCGTCTGCCCGGTCAGCACAGAACGGGCACCCAGTGAGCACTCGAGGATGACCCTCCTCGGGCAGCTGCTACCCACCCAGTAGCAACTGTCCCCGAGTCAGCAGGGAGGGAAGAGAGCATGTCACGCTCTCCTAAGTCTGATCAAGCAGCTGTGCAGAGATGTGCCTCTCACCTAGAAAGCGTCCTGTGGGCACAGCCACTCACACTGTGTCTCCAACTGCTCCACGACACAGAGTCGGGCGGGTACCTGGGCACTGGGTAATGGTGTATTGTGGGCTCATGGCAGCCATCACCATGGGGCCCTGCACGGGTCAGCAGGGCCCAGAGACGGCATCCTCTGCCCCCTGAACTGTCGACATGTGTGCGTGCAATGCGTCTGTGCACTTGAGTGCAGGTGGATATGGGCGGGCACGTGTGTGCGTGTGTGTCTCCTCCTTCCGGCCCTGGCTTCCCCAATCACGTGTGCCCCCATGTCCTCATCACTGTCACCCCAGGGCCTATGGTCAGCATCAGAGCATCCGCGGGTGCACCCCAGCCTCTGCCTTCAGGCAGGGTGGTCCTGGGGATGCAGGCAGGGCAGGGCAGTGGGTGACACCTCCTCCCTTGCGGGGAACTCAGTATGTACAGGGCTAAATCTGCATAGCAGGGCCATATTCAATGCACTTCTCCTCCTCCCAATAGCTCTCTGGGGTGCAGTTGATTTCATCTTCCCTACAAATAGAAGAAAGGAGGCTTCTAGGACAAACCCCCTGCCTGAGGTCACCCAGCAGCCAACTGACCTGGTCCTTACTGACTAGGTCCCCACTAACCAGGCCCCCACTGCCAGGCCCCCACTCACCAGGTCCCCACTCACCAGGTCCTGTTGACTAAGCCAGATCGTGTTCTGCTGACCAAGCCCTGTAGACTGGGTCCCACTGATCAGGCCCCGCAGTGACCAAGCCACCACTGACCTGGTCCCCCGTGACCATCTACCCACAGACCAGGGCTCATCTTAAGTTAACCCATCTAAGAAAATGGGTTTGGCCCCAGACCAAACCCATTTTCTTAAGTTCCATGGAGATCACTAGGGTATAAAGCCAAGTGGGGATAGGCTAAGCTTCAGAATCTGGACGTTTTCAACATTTCCAGGTATTTCCACATTCTTCACAGTGATTTTACCAATGTGTCTCCCACCACTGAGGGTTTCTACCTACCTCCAAAACTGTTGGTGTTGCCAGACTTTTTTCACTTACCTTGGGTGTTGGGTTTGAAATCCCTCCCTGTGGCTTCTTGTTCCTCATGACTGGTGACGTTGGGTGCCCTTGTATTTTAATTCTGTGCCACCTGGGTCCCCCCCAACTCCCACCCCCCCACCACTTGCTCTCTCTGCTTCGTAAGGAGATATTCTTGCCCGGTCAACTCCGAGTGATCACAGGTTCAGGGGTGTCCCCAAAATGAGATGCTTAGTGTTCGATGAATGAATGACACTGAGGCCAGGAGTGAGAGGAGGCAGACAGGGCCCATGTGGACAGAAAGGGTTTATTTCAAGTCCAGACATGACCAACAGAGAGAAAAAGGGGGGAAAATTGGGAGTAATCTGTGGGAGAAGGAGTGAGCCTGAATTTGAAAGATGGAGAGAATTGGACATGGAGGAGGAGAGGGAGGAAGGGAGAACAAAGGAAATAAGCAGTTGATGACCAAAATACGTAGTGATTCTATGCACATGATCAAAACGTGATCGTGTAATCATGTACATTTCTTAAATTCAAATGGACAAAGAACACGTAATTTTCCCCATTCCTCCCATGAAGCACAACTAAAACCCTGGACTAGACATCATACATAAAAACATGAGACTCTGAATATGATTCAGCCTTTAAAAACAAGAAAGCTTGTGTTTACAACGTGAATGAACTTGGAAGACATGTTCAGTGAAATAAGTCAGGCACACAAAGACAAATATTTCCTGTCTCACTTGTGGAATCTAAAAAGCTGAACTCCCATGTAGAATGGTGGCTCTAGGGGCTGAGGGAGGGAGGAGGAACTGAACAGATGTTGGTCAAAGGGCGCAAGAGGAATTGTTCAACATGGTGACTCAACATGGTCAATGTATTTTATTCTTGAAAAATGCTGAGTAGGCTGGGCACAGTGGCTCACACCTGTAATCCTAGCATGCTGGGAGACCGAGGGGGATCACCTGAGGCCAGGAGTTTGAGACCAGCCTGGGCGACATGACAGTTCATCTCTTTTTTTTTAATATAAAAAACTTAATTGCTGAGCAGATTTTAAGTGTTCTTATCACAGAAAAAGAGATAAGCATGGATGTATGGTCACGGGTATGTCAAAGATATGTTAAATTAGCTTGATTTAGATATTTTACACTGTATACCTATGTCAAAACATGTTCTATGCATCATATTTACAATTTTGTCAATTAAAATTAATAAAAAGTGATTGGGAAATTGCATCATAACAGAAAAATACAAGACTCTGAATGGTGGAGAGAAGGCAGACAAGCTGGGGATTTCAGGACCCAAGGAATGACACAAAAATGAATTCTTTGGTGTTTTGTTTTTAGCCGCATACAGCCCAGACTTGGACCTGAAGAAGCTGGCAACCTGCAAACGCCAACGGGCACAGTCAAAAAAAGCAAAAGA